AAGGCTGTGATAAAGACATTAAAAACAAGGGTGACTCATCTAAAAGAATCAATGTATAATACTAACAACACCTCATCTGAGCAATTAAAACAAAAACAAGACTAGAGGCTACTGCCATTGTAAGGCTGTGATAAAGACATTAAAAACAAGGATGACTCATCTAAAAAGAATCAATGTATAATACTAACAATACCTCATCTGATCAATTCAAACAAAAACAAGACTAGAGGCTACTGCCATTGTAAGGCTGTGATAAAGACATTAAAAACAAAGGATGACTCATCTAAAAGAATCAATGTATAATACTAACAATACCTCATCTGATCAATTCAAACAAAAAAACAAGACTAGAGGCTACTGACATTTGTAAGGCTGTGATAAAGACATTAAAAACAAGAGTGACTCATCTAAAAAAGAATCAATGTATAATACTAACAATACCTCATCTGATCAATTAAAACAAAAACAAGACTAGAGGCTACTGCCATTGTAAGGCTGTGATAAAGACATTAAAAACAAGGATGACTCATCTAAAAAGAATCAATGTATAATACTAACAATACCTCATCTGATCAATTAAAACAAAAACAAGACTAGAGGCTACTGCCATTGTAAGGCTGTGATAAAGACATTAAAAACAAGGGTGACTCATCTAAAAGAATCAATGTATAATACTAACAATACCTCATCTTATCAATTCAAACAAAAACAAGACTAGAGGCTACTGCCATTGTAAGGCTGTGATAAAGACATTAAAAACAAGGGTGACTCATCTAAAAGAATCAATGTATAATACTAACAATACAAAACCTCATCTTATCAATTCAAACAAAACAAGACTAGAGGCTACTGCCATTGTAAGGCTGTGATAAAGACATTAAAAAAAAGAGTGACTCATCTAAAAGAATCAATGTATAAAACTAACAACACCTCATCTGATCAATTCAAACAAAAACAAGACTAGAGGCTACTGACATTGTAAGGCTGTGATAAAGACATTAAAAACAAGAGTGACTCATCTAAAAGAATCAATGTATAATACTAACAACACCTCATCTGAGCAATTAAAACAAAAACAAGACTAGAGGCTACTGCCATTGTAAGGCTGTGATAAAGACATTAAAAACAAGGGTGACTCATCTAAAAGAATCAATGTATAATACTAACAACACCTCATCTGATCAATTCAAACAAAAACAAGACTAGAGGCTACTGCCATTATAAGGCTGTGATAAAGACATTAAAAACAAGGGTGACTCATCTAAAAGAATCAATGTATAATACTAACAATACCTCATCTGAGCAATTCAAACTAAAACAAGACTAGAGGCTACTGCCATTGTAAGGCTGTGATAAAGACATTAAAAACAAGGGTGACTCATCTAAAAGAATCAATGTATAATACTAACAACACCTCATCTGATCAATTAAAACAAAAACAAGGCTAGAGGCTGTAATATCCCAGCAACAGAAGGGAGATAACCCCTAGAGACAAAAGAGTTAGGTCCTCTCCGGACATCCGGAATCTTAATCAGCAGCTTGGCAGTAAAAGGGGAATAGGAGGCCACCATGACCCGAGGGCCAATCAACAACCATCTAACATCCTATCAACGCATTAATCGATGCCTAGCAAGCATCAATAGCCTCTTCAACACCTCAGAACATTACATTGGCAACGAGGACTGAGTCGTTACCCTCACTAAAAAAACAGAACATCAACACACTTAAAAAATAAAAAAAAAAAAAATTCAACACGTGTTCAATATATAACCAATATGGCCACCATTACCAAACTACCCTGAATTTGATTGTGAGTCAACAGCCAAAAGCAGCAAGATGGACAAATACGTAAAAAGACTGAAAAACTATTTTGTCGCACAGAGAAGGAGATAACATTGAGGGACGACAAATGGCGGTAAAAAAAGCAATCTTACTAACATTTTCGGCCGCGCCTCGAATGACATCATCAACGAAATACCACAAAACAGAGTCACACTAAAAAAAAAAAAAATGAAACACATTTCGACAAGCTTGTCTCAGCGGTGCACAACTACTTCAACCCTGAAAACGACTGAATACAACCGATTCGTGTTCTGAAAAAATTAAACAAAATAGCCCAGGCATCAAGACTTCTACTGCAAACTAAAGGAAGCTGCGGCTGTGTGCTGTTTTTCAACATGGATTCCGAGGTGAAGTCTCAATTAATTACAGGCTGCCTGTCAGAAAAAGTCCACCAGAAGGGACTCATGAACTCAGATATGTCACTACATGACTTAATAAACTACGCCCAAGGACAACGGAGGCGATAGCATCGCACCTACAAACAATGCGACTGGAAGACAACAACATCGCTACTGCTACAACCGCCCCAATAAACAAAGTTGAAGACGAACAGCGCCAACCAAGCAACTATCCCCGGCAATACCAGTGCAGGAATTGCAATGGAAAATACCCTCATGAGTGGGGACCGACGTCTTGCCCTGCATTTCATACCCAGTGCACATACTGCGAAAGGTGGGAATACTTCACCTCTGTCTGTTTTAGAAGATTAAACGTCGGAAACAGACAACGGGAAACAAATCGTCCCCCACGAACACAGACCAATCGACGCTCAGTGAACCGCATTGAAAACGACCAACGGAACCCACATAGCAGCGGTAGTGATACAGAATACGTGTTCCACACAGCTGGAGCTCGGAACTTGCCACCTCCAATTGAAATGGATACTCCAGCAAACAGGAGTTCATCTTTATTTTTGGGGCTTCCCAACCAAATAAAAGGGCAACTTGATGAACAATCACAAACTCTCCACAAAATCAATTCCACAGTCCAGAAACTTGAAGCTGAAAATGCTCTTTATAAACAAGAATTGATGACTGCCCACACCAATATTCACCAGTTATCATCTCTTTTGGATAATGAATGATGAAAATCCCATTTGTCTTTGGAGAGACATTTCATCCAAATGCAAGAAATGCTGTGCACAGAAATGAAGAGAATGTCACATGAAATAAATGAATTGAAGCTTAAATGTTGTCAACAGAATTTTCCTGCCACTCCTTCATCAACTTATCCGCAAACTACTTCTAGCAGTTTCCAACAAAGTAAGAGATTGTCACAAAATGCAACATATTTGCATCCTCAAAATGATGTTTATGAAGATGCTCTCAAGGTTTATCAAAAAGTTAAGAAATGTCCAACAACAGTTGCTTCAACAGATTTTCAAAATCCATTGTACTCCTCTTCAAATGTCCAACAGATGTCAACAAAATGTAAGTCGGCACCTTGTCCACAACCGTCTGTGCCAGGTCCACAAGTCATGTCTCCCCTCAACTCCATCCAGAAAATGCTACACCTTAGACAGTCATGCAAGAAAATTCATAACAAAATCTCTAGAACTGATGCCAGCTGTTCGAAAATGTCCAACACTTCATCTGACCAAGACCTTGATTCTTCTCCAAACCAGACCATAACTATTTCTTCCACTCAGAATCTCACATTGCAGGGTGATGAAGATCTTCATTCTGATGATTCCAATTTTGATTTGCTTGATTCTCGCAGCTTTAGAAAGTCCGAAGATGGCTTGGAAAGTAGCTCATCTGAAGATTTGGCTTTAGAATGGCTGTGGCCGAACAAAAAAAAAACACCTCTCAAAAAAAAAAAAAAAAAAAAAAAAAGAAAGCATTGTAATATCCCAGCAACAGAAGGGAGATAACCCCTAGAGACACAAGAGTTAGAGTTAGGTCCCCTCCGGACATCCGGAATCTTAATCAGCAGCTTGGCAGTAAAAGGGGAATAGGAGGCCACCATGACCCAAGGGCCAATCAACAACCATCCTAACATCCTATCAACGCATTAATCAATGCCTAGCAAGCATCGATAGCCTCTTGCGCAGAACATTACAGAGGCTACTGACATTGTAAGGCTGTGATAAAGATATTAAAAACAAGAGTGACTCATTTAAAAGAATCAATGTATAATACTAACAACATCTCATCTGATCAATTCAAACAAAAACAAGACTAGAGGCTACTGCCATTGTAAGGCTGTGATAAAGACATTAAAAACAAGAGTGACTCATCTAAAAGAATCAATGTATAATACTAACAACACCTCATCTGATCAATTCAAACAAAAACAAGACTAGAGGCTACTGCCATTGTAAGGCTGTGATAAAGACATTAAAACAAAGGGTGACTCATCTAAAAGAATCAATGTATAATACTAACAACACCTCATCTGATCAATTCAAACTAAAACAAGACTAGAGGCTACTGCCATTGTAAGGCTGTGATAAAGACATTAAAAACAAGGGTGACTCATCTAAAAGAATCAATGTATAATACTAACAACACCTCATCTGATCAATTCAAACTAAAACAAGACTAGAGGCTACTGCCATTGTAAGGCTGTGATAAAGATATTAAAAACAAGGGTGACTCATCTAAAAGAATCAATGTATAATACTAACAACACCTCATCTGATCAATTAAAACAAAAACAAGACTAGAGGCTACTGCCATTGTAAGGCTGTGATAAAGAAAAACATGTGAAACAACATATCATATAACTGTAGCAAGATATTTCAGAATTTTGGACAAATGATGTGCAATATTGAATATATATTAAATTTATTGAATTATATTAAATTGATTTTCTATAGCCTTTATCTACGTGATGTCAGCTATCCAGTTTGTGTCTTTTGATGACAAAATTCAGTGATTGTCCAGTTCAAATGAAATTAACTTTACAGCCCTGCTTGTATTTCTTTGTCTAATGACCTTTGATGAACAACAAATGCGAATATCACATTTAGATGGTCCTGATTACATAACAAAATTATCTTTCTGCCAGTCTTTTCATCAATAACTTTGGGTGTATTTTTTTCATCTACAGCAGAGTACAAGTATCTGTATTGAATGGGAGTGTTGGCATTACACTTGGACTATGACAATGAGAAGGGCTTGATAACAACAGCTACACTCATATTAACACACCTA